ATCCTTGAAACCAAAAAAAATTAAAATGGCTTCCAAAAGTACACAATTACAGAATAAAATAAATTAAAACAGATGAAAAATGAAAGGGATACAAGGTATAGTGGGGAACAGGATATTTCCATATGTATACCGGTAAAGTCAGCTAAATCACTGGAAAGAGAAGGAATTTGCTTTTTAATTTCTCCAATTTAACCTTATTATAACTACTTTTATAATAGTGTTATAAACACTAAGCAAATATTTACTAGTTCCTTGTCTAACCATTACTATGGCAAATACTCTATAACCAGGTACCTTATATCATAAGCCAGGCAATCTGTTGGATGAGACAAATACTCAGTTATAAGAAAGTGTAATATGTATGTTATAACAGTAAAATTATAGATTTTTGTAGGAGAGAAAAGTAGCATTTTCTGAACCAGCAGAAATATTTACATGGTAACTGCTGAACTATGATCCCAATACTTCATGTACCAAGAGATTTTTCTGATACATGTAAATATGCATAGTTCTTGATACACAGGGAAATATATGGTCTCAAATGTTACCAGTACAAATGAGACTTGCACATGTAAATCACAATATGATAAGAAAACACATTTGAAAAGCATTTTCTTGTAAGCGAAAGCTTAACTCTGATTCCACTTAGCCTGGTAAGTGTTTCTGTCATTCCGTGGGGCCAGCCCACACATACTGGGCTCTTGATAGGTCCTGGGCTCGACCATCTGGCCCTTTGTGTACTTAATTCTTTTTTAATACTGACGAGTGTATTAGTAACACTTCCTTGATCACTGGTAAATATACAGCCACCATACAACTAAGATTTTCCTTAATTCTGAAATTCACTAATTAGTTGTGGGTACGGGTTAGTATTACAAAGGTATGTTGAGTGGTACTACAATGAGTAATCTAATTCCCAAAAAGAAGTGTGTTAATTTACTTCCCACTTCATTAGAGGAATAAAAAACATCTTATCATCACTAAAGGATACAAAAAGAGACTTGGGTATTTTAGGGAATGGTAGACAGGGAGAAAGCATGAATGCAGCATTGAGGCAAGAAACACAAATCACCTATATGTCTTGGACAATGTTCATGCTTTTTCTTAATACCTTCTGATTGCTTCATTTATTAGTGTGTTTCACGAAAACATTTTATTCAATTTAAAACAGGTTTCCAAAGAAAGCAAATAAGGTAAATGATTCCTATTTTCAAAAACTTACCATTCTACTGGTACTTAAGTTATGCATTAGCCAACTCTGGAAGCTGCATTAATCTTTTCAAGCCAATAAGGTCTCAATCAATTACTTGAGATAGCAAAATAAAATACAGGCTTAAAAGAGATAATGCAGCCGGGCGTGGTGGCTCAAGCCTGTAATCCCAGCGCTTTGGGAGGCCGAGGCGGGCAGATCACAAGGTCAGGAGATCGAGACCATCCTGGCTAACACGGTGAAACCCTGTCTCTACTAAAAATACAAAAAACTAGCCGGGTGTGGTGGCAGGCACCTACAGTCCCAGCTACTTGGGAGGCTGAGGCAGGAGAATGGCGTGAACCCGGGAGGCGAAGTTTGCAGTGAGCCGAGATCATGCCACCGCACTCCAACCTGAGCGACACAGCGAGACTCCGTCTCAAAAAAAAACAAAGATAATGCAATTTCCAAAGGTGCTACCAAGTCATTTAGAGAGAATATATGGTACAATTATAAGTATCAAAACTGGGAATTTATATATTTTAAGCCTTCCATAAAATATATTTACTTTTTTTCTTTTGTTGGATGAGAGATATTCTAATGCTGTTTATTTTTCCAGAAGATTCAGATTATTCAAAGTGTATCAGCTGATTGTTATGTGTGTTAATTCAAGCATTGAGTTTAAATAATCTTAACTCCCTAAAACTAAAGATTCTGTGTAAGGTTAGGCCAGTTGCCCTCATTCTAGAATCAAACCATGTAAGACCAGACAAAGGTCTCTTAGAGATTTTGGGGGGGTCCAGTCTTTCTCCTTTGTCCATAGACATGTTAGGGAAAGGACAACATTTCCTTATAGTACTTACCCCAAATAACTAAAATCTCAATTGAAAATGTATAGAAGTGGGGACCGTAGAATAGGTGTTAATAATTCCTTAATCAAACCTTGTAACTAATGAAAAAACACTAGTTTATATGCAGAAGTAAACTGATGAAAGGATGAACAGAATAAAAAAGGAGGAAAAGACACATTTTTAAATATATAATTTAGAAACTGTCAAAAAAAAAGTGGGACATGTCTTATTTAACTGGTGTATGAGAAGAATGGATGCTTTTACAGCCACATAAATGCAGGTACAGAAAGGTAATAGGAGCTTTGTGTTACAGTGGAACTTAAACTCCTCTGGGCAGTGATCAGCTAAGATGGAACAGAGACAGTTACAATGCAATGATTAACTAGTGGACAAAGCTATTATTCATGGCAGGTATGTAAGCAATTGGAGCAGCAATGTTGGAGGCCTCTCCTCATCAAGCAGCTTTGCCAGTACAGACTGGATGCCTGAAATCAGGAAAGACACAAAAACAATAAAACCTAGAGCTAGCTAAGGGAGATTCAATGCAATCCATCTCCAAATTTTAAATATTACTGGAAATCTACACTGAAGAATGTTTTCCCTTGGGATTGGCATACATTGTAGTTATAGAATGTTGACCAACACTCACCTCTATTTATCTTACTATGCAAAGCAATATGCTTAAAACACCTACATGGAAATTCTCATTATATTACAGAAAAAGGAGATTCTAACATTAGTTGGCAAAACTTTTTGTTGATAGGTATGACCATCAGGTCATTACATGAACAGATGGTTAAAGTGAGTCCATTTCATTGACAGTACATATTGTGGGTCTTTTTATTCTGAACAACCAAACAAAACAAACACACAAGAGGTCATTGTGCCCTCCCTCATTTGGTTGGCAACTTTATCTGTAAAATATGAAAATAAAAAACTAACATGGACTACAATCCTGCATGTACCATTGGTACCTGCATAGCACCATTTCTGCATAATATTTAATCAAATATTTTATTCATATTCAGAAATCCTGATATTTGTGAAGATGAAAAAACACATGAGATATTTTTAACTTTCAACTTCATGATCTCCAGTAAAAGTAGAAAAATAATTGTATTTCATATTATTTGGTTTTTTGAGCTAGCCAGAAAACTAATGGTATACAAGAAAAAAAGGAAGTTACCACTCTTTATTTGTCTTCAGGTCTTTTAATGTAATCTCAGGAAAAAAATATATGAACAAAAAAGGAAATTATTATGTTAAAATCTATTCCACTTTGAAAGGCTATATTCTCTCTCCCTCTCAGATAATTTTAAATATAAAAGCTGAAATGTTTATAACCAAATAAATCATCTAGCAGATATCCAATCACCAAACATTAATTTTGCACCATGAGGTTTCTTTAATCTCTCTCTCTTTCTCTCTCTCATAGACACACACACATACAAACACATACACACACACACATTCACACACACAGGTTGCTAACTTGATTCTTAGTATGGTAACTTAATCTCTATAACCACTCCAAAATTTACTTTACCTTGATTTTGTGAATAAAAATAAATAATCTTATGGTGCAAGGCAGGGATAAAAATTAGAAGTATATTTCTAACTATAAGAGCCAATAATAAAAAGAACAGCACTGAAAATTATATTGCTAAAATGTATCTGTACATGTGGCTGTGAAAACTTAGGTGCAAAGAGAATTCTAGTTAACTACCTTCAGAAAGAGCTAATGAAACATGAGGTTTAAGAGTACATCTTTAGTACTTCTGTACCTTAAAATATTGCCGAGTATTAATTTTTCATCAAGTTGTCATTTTCTCTGACATTTGGTTTTATTAATCAAGGCATTTATCATTAATTTGTAGAAAATATCGTAATTAAGCCAAATAAAATAAAATCCTTAAAAGGTTAAAATTAGAAAGCAGGTGAATTAGAACTTTGACATTACCCTGTTGACATACAGGAGCTTTTTGGAAGTATGAGAATGAAGTTTTTTTCAGTGAGTTTGGTGCCTTGATCTTGGGGTTGGCTGGTTTTTAAAAAATGTTATAAAGATTTGATTTAAAGCTCTCTGACAGTTTTGACATTCAGGTGAAAGTACTGCTGCTGCATTTGGAACAATTTGCATATCCCACTGCTAAACGGAATGTTTGAGGTGTGCACTGGTGTAAAGAAATTAAAAACAAGCTATCACACATGCTTAAGTGTATGTATTCACAGAACTGATGGTTGGATCGCACCACCCCATCCCCCTCCAATGTAATCTGTGATTTACTCTTCTATAATAAATTACCCTACCATGTTAGTCTCTCTGGAAAATCTAACCATGCATGTAAGAAGCAAAGTAATTACAGCCCCCTCTTGTCTAAGAAGCCTCCTTCAATCCCTATGAGCTCTTTATACACAATGCAGCCACACGAGTCTATTGTAAACTTCTTGCCTGAAATTCTGGACTTCTGACTATCAGCAGCCACTAAACATCATCGGAACAGTTTCGTTGTCCCCAACAAATACAATTTTATTTCTTATAGTTAGTTGGAAAGCTCTTCCTCAGGAGAAATTGTTACTGACATTTTGACTTTAAGCCATTTGTCTATTTAACGAAAGAACACAGTTTAAAATTTGAGTTCCAAATCAGTAAAAAAAAAAAAAAAAAAAAAAAGGAGGACAGAGGGACATAATACATAATGAAATAGAATGAAGAAGAGTTATAGCAATACTTAATTAGACTGAAATATTCAGAAAGAGTATAAAATTTCTACATCTTTTACTTACAATTTCGTATTATTTTTAGGTATACATAGAAAAAGATATTTAATGTGCTTAAGGACAATAAAAGAAAAACAATAAAATAAAAGAAAATTTGAGGTAGCAAATCCAAGACCTTAAATATCATAAGACAATTAAAGAAGATAAAGCCCATTCAGGAAAATATTATTGGACATTACCTTCAGCCTTCAGAGTCCCAAAGGCAATTCTTGACACTTCTTTTTATTTGTCTGTAGAAAAAAGAATGCTTAAAATTAGAAATCTTCCAAGGAAAACATTTGCATTTCTATAATATCTTTATGACTCACATAGCTGAGTTTGTGTATGCCAACTAATACCTAGTTTTAAAAAGAAAACTGAAAGCTAACACATTCATATGTGTACAGGTACTCAGTAAAACATGGCCCAAATATACATTGCATATACATTTTTGAGAAGGGATAGCATGGTGTTTGCTATAGTATCATAAGAATTTATCTTAACTCATAAGGATATTTGCATTTTTATTTTCATATTTTCATATTTTCTTTTAAGAAAAGTAAATCCCAAATTGCTTTTAACCTATTTACTTGCTCATTCTTATTAACAGAGAGTTTGCCAAGATCTATGATGTATAATGTACTGGTCATCACTGGTGAGTTTAAAAGTATGCAAAGATAAAACACAAGCCCTATTCTCAAAATAGTAGGTAAGGTTAAGAGACATCTGCATAAACACAGATAACCCAAAGAAAATAAAAAGAAAATGGGTGGAAAGAAAGAAAGATGCAAAGGGTAACATGTGCAGTACAGTTTAGTACCCAAGGCATTGACATTAAAATGTGACTTAATATTTCCTGTCTTAGCAGAAAGGCTAATAGTAGGGTCCTACCCATATTTAGATGCAAGGATGCCAAACAAATGGATGGGTTGCTTTTAAATTTCTTTAGTATAGAATTGAAGCTGGACAGGGAACAGGCAGGTTGAGGTTACTTTAAAGCCAATTTGGTGACTTTGACTATCGAAAGACTAAAAACAGCTCCCCTATTAAAAACTGAATTCGATGTTGTGTTCCCATTAGAAAATGATCTCTCTAAATTTGCTATGAATTCTCAATGATGACCTTGATGCCATATTTACTAATAATCTCCACAGAGATTTGGCGATTCAAAGTTTCAAAGGCAGTTGTAATAATGGAAATGCAATACATAAACATATGCTGATTCTATAATCTAGTACATCTACAGTAAAATGCCCATTAGAATTTTTAAAATCTAAGGATTTTAATTGACTATATCATTAATATGCATGCACAATATTTTTGCAAACAACAAACCACACTAGTAAACCAAAACAAACCTGGCTGCACTAATAGACAAATACGTTCCAGAAAGGGAATCTGACAGTCTTGTTATATTTGAGGTACATCAGCATTATTATAGTTATTCTGCATCTGCAAACTAGGAGAGATGCTAAAAGTTAGTAACTGCTAGGAGGAGTGAGACCAGAAGAATTAATGATGAAGACTTAGGATGATTAGGAACAGAAAAGAAAAAAATGTTCTGATCATAGAGATAAGGTGGAGGACACCTTTGAGAAAATTAATTTGGCCACTACATGATATATTACCAAAGTTATTTTTGTTAATTGATTATCTGTCTCTTCCCTCTAGAATGTTAGTAACATAAGGGCAGGCACTTTGTCTTTTTCACTGTAACATCATTTTCTTGAATAGTGCCTGCCATATACTAGGAAATCAATGAGTATGTACTCAACGAATGAATGAACAGCCTAACCAATAAAACAGGCACTAACTCCATATCTATTCACAGATGAGAAATTCAGGCTTAAAGAAATTACATCACGTATACCAAATTAAACTACAAACTCCTACAATGCATTGTTTATTCCTCCATTCAACATTCATTCTAGCAATAGGAGAAACAGGCAATAAGCAAATAAATTGTTAGATTTATAATGTCATATAATTAGTACTTTGAAGTCAGAAAAAACAAGATAATGGCACTGAGAGTTACATGACCTGATATTTTAGATAGATTTGGACAGGAAAGCTTCTCAAAGGAGGTAAGAATACAAGTAACCTGAATCAAATAAAGAAAACAGTCAAAACAAAAAAATCTGAAGGACTGGCCAGGTGCGGTGGCTCATGCCTGTAATCTGAGCACTTTGGGAGGCCAAGGCGGGTGGATCACCTGAGGTCAGGAGTTCGAGACCAACCTGCTCAACATGGCAAAACCATATCTCTACTAAAATACAAAAAATTAGCCGGGCGTGGTGGCGGGTGCCTGTAATCCCAGCTACTTGGGAGGCTGAGGCAGGAGAATTGCTTGATTCCCACGAGGTGGAGGTTGCAATGAGCCAAGATCGCACCACTGCACTTCAGCCTGGGTGACAAGAGCAAAACTCCATCTCAAAAAAAAAAAAAAAAAAATGAAGGACCATCTGAATTGTTTTAGGATTAAATAACACGTATTTCCTTGCCTAGTATAATGGCCAGCATATACCAAACAGTGCACTCAATATTTTTTATTATATTGCTAGTATTTTTATAAATTGTGAATTTCCCCACTAGATTACTTTGTCAAAGGCATTTACTGTTGTTTCCCTTAAAGTTCCTTAAATAGTGCCTAGCAAGAGCTCAATAAACATTTAGAGAACAAAAATAGAAAGACACAATTTTCAGTTCATTAATTAGAAAATAAGCAGACTACATGAATATGAAAAAGTCACCATCTTTCATATGCCTGAGTCAATCTAACTCTGTTAAATCAATTTCACAAAATATTTCATCTTTCCTAAATTAAAACAAAAAAGAAAAAGGGGAAAATGTATAAAATGGCTAGGCCCGAGAAGTCATAGATAACAAAAGAATAAGAAAGAATCAGAAGAAAATTAAGTTATTAACATAAGGTCACTCGCTTTACCATTTCCATGCTGTCTGACTCCATCAGATTAACACATTTTTCCAGTGCAGGGACATTGCCACACAGATATCTGATTCATTTATGTATTCCTAATGCAGGCACAAGCCTTGTTATATAACAAACATTCAAAAAAATCTTCGTTGTACTGAAATGAACTAAAATGATTTTTAGTAGTTTTGATGCTTTAAAGCTAGCTCAAAACAATAACAACAAACCAGGGGACTAAGAAACCTAAAAAACAAATTTATACAGAGAAAACATCAAGTATTAGGTTTGAGTCCTGCAGCAAAGGAGCAGAGAACAAGGTAGGTTCTTTCCAAAGAGTGAAATATAAGTGACAGTGTGATATTGGCATTGGAAGAGACAGATCAGTAGAAGATGACAGGAGGACTCAGGTATGAGGTAAATATTACAAGTAACATTTCCATGAACAATGTTAAGATAGCTGACTGATTACATGTGGAAAAATAAATTCTGTTCTCTAATTCTTATCAGCACTAAAATATAAATCAGGTCAGTAAAACTCAATATAATATATAAAACAATCAAGGACCTCTAAGAAAATACATATGTATGATTTTCTGAACTCCAACATGGGAAGGACTTTTTAAGTACATACACAGTGGTATATAATATAAGCATAAAGATTTATGATTTTTACTACTTAAAATTAAAAATTTTAGCCTGGGCAACATGGTGAAGCCCTGTCTCCACAAAAAGTACAAAAATTAGTTGGGCGTGGTGGTGCACAACTGTAGTCCCAGCTACTCAGGAGGCTGAGGTGGGAGAATCACCTGAGCCTGGAGAGGTCAAGGCTACAGTGAGCCATGATCCTGCCACTGTACTCTGGTTTGGGCAAGAGAACAAGACCCAGTCTCAAAAAAAAAAAAAAAAAAGTGTAAGGCAAAAAATATCTTCAACAAAATTCAAAATTAAGAGGCCAACAAAAAATAAATATTTTTAAAGTGTATAATGTTCATTGGGCTAAGAGTCTTTATAAATAAATAAACATATTATTCTACTTTTTAAAATGAGCAAAATACATGAATAGGCAATTCACAATAGAATTGTGAGTTATCTTCTAAACTGTGGAATGCATTTATAAATATACTTTAACATATATAAAATATATTTTAAACTATATATAAAATAGTAATACTTATTAATTATTAATACTGAATAATACTATTAATTCTAAATAATACCTATAAGTAATAAGGTGAAATAAGAAGCTAAAATACATATGTAATAATATTAATCTGCAATAGCAATGAAAGAAATGCAAATTAAAAACTAAAATATTCCAGCATAGTGAACTGGTTAGATAAATTATAAGTAATAGTATATTAAGTGTTCATTAGGCAAGTGAAAATATATAATACATCATTAAGCTTAGAAAACAGGTTATAAAATGGTAATAATGATAACATACCAATATTTAATAATTTTTCTCTATATAATATAAATACAAACTATGCACAACTTTTGATCATATGCATATACAAGTATAGATCTGTATGTACCAGGTGTATGTGTGTTTGTGTGTGTGTGTTTGCATGTATATGAGAAAAAGCATGTATGTGACTGTAAAAAACTTAAACTACATTATTCTTTGAATTTATCTTAAGATTATGACAGATTTTTTTCTTCTTAAAATTTATTTCCAAATTTTCTATAATAAAAACAAATTATTTTTATAAACATTAAAAGCACTAAAAGAAGGCACCTAGTTTATGTTTCAGGAAAGAAAAATTTAATGTTATATTATTAGAATTCTTGAATGTTAAGAAAGACATTTGAAAATGTCATTTTTGGTGAAACCTTTTTAACTGCATAGATTTTTTAAAAGAAAAAAATGTAAGGAAGGAAAGGAGAAAGCGCAGGTGTTGTGAGGAAGGGAAGAAAGAGAACAACAAAGAAAAATAAGATTTATAAAGATAACAGCAACAACCCATAATGGTATCTATTAGGTTCCTAGCAACCAAATGTTAACTGGTAACATCTCTAATTAAATTTTCAAAGAAAAGCACAGACTGGAATGTAGAAAACTTAAGTTGGAGGTTACATTTAAACTGTAAACATACTTTTACAAGAGAAAATAGATAAAATGTTCATTGATTTCAATGATAGGACTACTGTATAAAGAGAGACAAAATATGCCATGAGAACATAAGATGCTCCAAACCAGTTTTGGAAGTAGGAGTAGTATAAATTTCAATTAAGTAAAAGTTTAAAGTAAGCAAATTTTAAGTAGCTATAAAATCATGTTCATTCCCATATAAGTAATACTTTTCAATCCATAGTCCT